CTGTATCCACGCCTACTTAGGGGCTGGCGACAGGTGTGCCTGACCACGCTTGCGAGGGCGTGGTCAGGGTGACGTAGAGTGAGACTTTCAGGGGACTGCGTTTCTCTTTCGGTTTCACTTTTGTACTTGCTGGACAGGCTGCTGCCACACCGGCTGGCTAGGTTGCTCTGTAAGTAAGGCTTTTCCCTATTAAATACCCTTATATTTGTACCTGACTCTGTGTTGGTAATTTCCCAGTATACTCCCAAGAATGGAGCGCTTTCCCAGAGTGGTGGAGAGTTACGGGATTCCCTTTCCTAGAGGCTTTTGTAGTGCCATGAGGTAATCTGCATTGAGATTGGTTGATTATGCTATCATGAGCCACAGAGGACCCACACCCTCTATGCATGTCCCTTTGGCCTGAGGAGGACATGATCATGCTCTGCTCATGTACTGCCACCCAGTTAGGGGTCATGGACACCTGCTTTGTCCTTTGTCCATCTCTGACTTGTGCTTTGTTAGCTGCTGCCATTGACTGCTGTCTGCTAGCTGCTAGTCACTGGATGATGTTGGTGCCTCTGACCTGGCAGAAGTCTGAAATCTCAGTAATTGGACTAAGCCCTCTGTGTTCTCACAGCCACCAAGAAGTAGCTGCATTTGTTCAGTCAACTCATTGTCTGTGGGATGATCTGGGTGATCTTTCCTAAACTAGGCGGAGGCTTCTTGTTAGAAGACAACCTTACTTGCAATTTGGGCTGTAACAATTAGCCACATCAGAAACCAGAACATAAGAAATATATATCAGAGCCTTATATGTTTCCCTCAAGGGAGTATAATTATCAATATATCAAAGCTTAAATGTTGCCTTCCCCTGTTTCCTCCTCCTTTTCCTTTCTTCCAATGCTGAGTATCAAACCCAGTGCCTTGTGCACATGCTTAGTAAATGTTGTAGTACCTAGCTACACTTTTCGTTTATCTGTTTTCATTGTGTCCCTTGGATTACTCCAATGTATTTGGAAATCATTTTGCTGCTTTCCAGAGTTTGTCTTCAATATCCCCTTTCAGTGGTTGCTGGAGATACTAGGTTGCATGCACATGGCGTATAGCAGCTTGTTGGTATCCTAGTCCCCCTTGTTTACGGCACTTGGCCTAACCACTCATTGATAACACAATGGCTAAGCATTTCCTCTCTCTGTCCATGTGTGTGAGAGAATGCCATTGTAACAATGTGTGTATTCCACTTTCAAACACAGCATGGGGAAATCTTGTGTGACCTGTGTGTTTGCCCTGTCCTTTCCCTGTGCTTGTTATAGTATCTTATAGCACTGTCCTTTCCCAATGCTGTTTCTGTCTTCTGTGACTTTGTTATAACCTGAGTAGTGCACAGGTCTTCTGATTTTGCTTCATTTCAGAGTATCTTGATTTACCCCTTTTTCCCTCAGGGTCCTTCCTGGCTGGCTGGCTGATAGATTACCAGAGACGTCTTCCCCTCATTTTGGAAGCATCTCCCTGGCTAGCTTTCAGGCTCCTGGATGCTAGAGAGACTAAGAAGTCCACCCCCTGACTCATTTGCTCATTGTCTTTGGTTACAGTCCTTCTGTTTCTATTCCCCATGTTGTGAGTCTCTCTGTTTTCTTCTGTCTCACCTGGGTTCACAGTTGGTCACTTGAAGCCACGGCTGCTCTAATCCATCACCTGGTTGTCATTATATGTGCCCTCCCAGTGCTGGTGTCTCTCACTCTGCTGTTGTTCTGCATGAGGTCTCCCTGGTTCTTGGTGGGACCAGTGACTTTCTACAGGAATCTGTGCATTTTTGTACATGGGCCTGGGTTCCATTTAAGCTATGTGCTCTGACCAGCTTTAACCCATGCTGTTTTGCAAGGTAGATTAGAGTACTCCTGGTAGCTAACAGTTAGTGGAGGAGGTTCAACCCCCACCCCGCACACTGAGCCTCTTTCTGCATCTGAGGGTGGGGAGGGGTGAGAATTACAGCTCTGGTTATCCCACATACCTTGGGTGTGTGTAGGAAAACTCCCTGGCTCAGTATTCTTCAAAGCTGAGTGGCGGTGTAGGAACACTGTGTTCTGGTGTAGGAGGAAGGAACCCTGGGATTTCCAGCATGGAAGGTGGTCTGAGGGACCGTATTTTCTTGTGGAGCCCATGATTGTCTGACACTCTTTGATCTTGCTGGGCTGCCCTTTCCTGGCCTCAGATTGAGAGGTAGTTGTGGTGTGTGGTGTGTGGTATGGTGTGTGTGTGTGTGTGCGTGCGTGCGTGCATGCGTGCGTGTGTGTGTGTGTGTGTTGTTGTTGTTGTTGTTTTGTGTGCACCCAGGGCATTTATGGACCTATGGGTTGGTTTCTTTAGCTCCACCTCTGGGAGATAGAGAAAAGCCATGAGGATTTGTAGCAGGCTCCTTCTTTACTAGTTCTTTCCACCCTTGGCCCTCTGTGTCCAAGGCTGCTAGAAGCAGTCAATGAAAGAACAGGAGAAATTTAGTCTTCCAGCTTCCCTGCACATGGGCCATCTTTCCGTCTTCATGCAGATGGGCCATCTCTTCTAGGGCTCTTTGTTTCCTGGGAAGTTCATAGCAATGCTGCCAGTTTTTCTTTCCAACACAGGAATACGCTTACGTTTTCTCCAATGAAAGTTTAGCAATCTCCTTTGAAAGTAACTTCTACCCTGGCCAGCTGTACTTCAGGAGCGTGGCCAAGCCTCTGCCACAGTGCTCAGCATTTGCAGCTCTGTGCTCAGACAGTGCACGTGTGTGTGTGTGTGTGTGTGTGTGTGTGTGTGTGTGTGTGTGTGCATGGATGTATGCCTCTGTATGTGCAGGTGCACATGTGTGTGTATGTGTGTACATCAGAATCCAGAGGACAACCTTTTCATTGGAGAAAACGTAAGCGTATTCTCAGGAGCAACCTATCTTGTTTTTTAAGACTGGTTTCTCATTAGCCTGGAACTGGCCAAGTATGCTGGGCTGGCTGGTGAGACCCCAGGAATCCCCACCTCCTCGACTCTGGGATTCCTAGCACGTCCACACACATGCTACCATGCTCATCTCTTAAAATGTGGGTTCCTCAGATCAAACAGATCCTCGAGTATGCAAGTCATGCGTTTTACCAACTGAGTCATCTCCTGAGCCCAGAGGATGGATGACATTTTTAATGAAAAATTTTTCATGCGAAGTTCCTTTATGCTCTCAATTATTTGTTGCCTGATAAATATTAATAGTAAGACTGTCGTCCTTGGGGAATAGTGTGTTTAAAGTATGCTTGTTTTCTAAACCTAAAAATGCTAGCTGTTGGGTTAACACGGAGAATGTGTTTTCCAATGAGAACGCTCCTGGGATTGGACTGTGGGGACTGGGAAGTACACCTGACAGAAGTCCTGCTTTTCTGTTGCCTTCATCACCAACACTGGAGGCTCTGGGGACTGAGCTGCGCTCCCTGCTGTGAGTTACCTTCCACAGAGATAGGGCTAAGGCCAGAGTCCTCCTGGTATTTTTACCACTGGGGATCCCAGGACTTAGGAAGTGCCACTCGTTTGATTCTTGCCATCTGGAAGCTTTAGCAATTCACATTTGCATTTAAAAATGTTTAAGTATGTTCATGAAAACCATTTCTGTGCACTTTCAGTTTTGTCCAGATTGTGTGCTCTGGATTTCTTTAACACACACACACACACAAACTCACAAACTCACACACACACAAACTATCTCTCTCTCTCTCTCTCTCTCTCTCTCTCTCTCTCTCTCACACACACACACACACACACACACACACACACGCACACACGCAGGCATGCACACACATTTCATAATATACAAATATATACACACACATGAACACACACACACACACACACACACACACGCACGCACACATACACACAAATATTCATAATATACAAATGTACACACACACACACACACACACACGAACACACACACGCAGCACACACACACACAAATATTCATAATATACAAATGCACACACACACACACACACACACACACATGAACACACACACGCACGCAGGCACACATACACACAAATATTCATAATATACAAATGTACACACACACACACACGAACACACACACGCAGCACACACACACACAAATATAATGTACAAATGTACACACACACACACATTCATATGTTGCAACATGTACATATACAGAGCTGTCCTGATTTGAAGGCTTTGTAACTTGTTTTTTTTTTTTTTCCACAGAGCATAAAAATATACCTCAGTAATTACGTGATGCTTAGTGATTAGATAATTATGGATAATTGCATGGGGTAGCTCTAAGTGTGTAAGCGTTACCGTAAGATCTAAAATGTACAAATTGCATAATAATTATTCTTGGGAGTTATCTGGTAATTCTGAGCATAATTATCATGTGATCCACAATGCATGTAATTAATGCACAATTGCATGGATTTTTGCCTTCATAACTGCTTCCCCCTTGTTATAAAGCTCTTTGTCACAACATTTGAGTGTAAATATAATGTAATTGGCTCTGAGATTTAGTACGTTAAACCCGCAGTAATTGCTTCACAGGAATGTAACCCTCTCCAGCCAAATGCTGGGCTCTCACACAGGATGGGTTAGGGAGAACAGTTGTTCCAGTGTGTAACTCAACCAGGTCATAACACAGTGGGTGTGCTGAGCACGGCAGCTATGCTTGCAGCCTTGCTGATGGGGACATCTTTGCTGTAGGTGAACCTACTGGGGTAGACAAGGTCCGTCTTCTGCACCGAACCAAAGTCTATTTGGTTTAGGTTTCCTTTGTCTGCCAGCCACAGCCAGCACCCACTGCATCCTATTTTTAAACCAATAGAACAGGGGGCTGGCTGTCATTTGTGTCTGAAAGTTTAAGAAAGCTAAAGGGAATCTTACTGAACCCCACAAGGCCCGGTGATTTGCTGGAAGAAAAGAGACCCGGGGAAGTCTGATGCAAAGGGCTCTGCCACGTTTGCAAATTCGTGCCTCAGTTTATACTCCTTTCTCCACAGGTTTCACATGGCAAGATGACTATACTCAGCATGTGATGGCCCAGGAGCTCGCAAACCTCCCCAAGGCCTACCCATGGCACGGGGATACTTCCAGCCCAGCCAGGTATGTGTAGGAGTGACTTCCCTCTTCTTGCTCCCAGCCACAGCCATATCTCTTAGTTTGGCTGTTTTTAGAGTAGCAAAGCAACCACCATCTTTTTGGTGTAGAGTAGATATCCAAGGGGAAGGGGTGTCTCTGAAAGGGAAAGTTACAGTGGAGTAGCCTTGCAGTGTGGGGCACTGGACACGAGAGGTGTGCCATGGGTCATGACTTGTCTATGAGACTCCCCCACCACCAAATAACCCTGTGTCTTCAGAGTGAGGTTAGAGCTCCGGTTTCTCACTAGGTAACTGTGTTTGCTACAATGCAACGAGCAGGATTAATCCAGAAACTCCTGGTCTTTCTCTCCCAAAGAGTAGCAGCCCATATCAAGCAAAAAACAAAAATTGTCCCATGTCATCTCATCCCTGCGCATTTCCAGCTATAGGTTGATGGCCTAGAAGTCCTACTCCCAAAGTCATGAAATGGGAATCAGGGAGCTTGAAACATTGCCCAAAGAGAAGCTACTGCAAGAATGAGCCTGTGCTGGTATGCAGTATTTTGAAATTAAAACAACAAACAAATGGGATCTTTTCCTAAGTCTTAGTTTGCAATGTCCATTATTTCCTAAGCAACAGAATATTCACGAGCTGCGGTTTCCATGTAGAATAAATCCTTGTAACACAAAATATGACCATCTGCCTTTATGACCATGTGCAACTAATAGGTCAGGATCCCACATCATCACTAGTGGGACCAAGGGGATAAAAACAGGTGATAAGTGGGCAGTGAGTCTGTGTGAGGTATGAATGGAGTCTTTGTGCTAATATTCTTGGGAGCATCCTTTACAAAGCGACTGATATGTATGTCTGCATGATGTATGCATATATGTATATGTATGCATACCTTTTCACCCAGTTGCATATTTAAGACATTATTTATGATATTTATGGAAATTAGCATAAATTATATAAGTTTATTATGCAGATGGTCATATTAACGTGTATGCATATATATATGTATATATATATGTGTGTGTGTGTGTGTGTGTAATAAATTACAAATATATTTTGACACACATTCGATGCCTGGACACCTGTCCTTAATGCTTACTTCACTGGGAAGAAAATGCCAGTATTTCTGATAGTGTATGGAAAGCTATTCTGGAGAATGTGAGACAAAATAAAACCCTACCTGTGTGTCCTAAGCTGGCCTGAAATTTGTTTGCAGTCAGAAATTTGTTTGAGTTCAGACCCTCCCTGCTTCTGTGTAGGCTCACACCTGATAATCATGGTAACTGTGCTCAGCACAGGAAGGGCAGGAAACCCAGGGATTGGAGAATCTGGGAAGCCCGTCTGGGAGTGGTGCTCCAAGGAGTCCAGGAGGCAGGGAAGAGAGGCAGCTGAGAACAGGGAGAGACACAGCTGCCTGGGATGCACTCAAGGAGAGGTGGTCCTTCCATGTGTAAGGTGACAGTAGTTATCTTGTTTTCTGTCCTTGTGAGAGTTGGAGTCACCTTTGTGCAGGTCCTGTGTCCTTGTTTTGGATGCTCAAACTGTACTGCATTTTCTGTTTCCTTCAGCATCTGTGTTTAAAGCCAGCGACTTTCATTTGTGCGTCTTGAGGAGTGTTCCTGTCTCTGGCTCAGAGACGACCAGGGATGGAACTCCCTTCTCTCCTGAGTTCATTCCTTCCTCATGAGTGGGAGGGAATGAGGCCTGTCATCCATCTTTAAGGGCCAGAGACTCTGGGGGAAACTGGCTAGGTATTCTCCAGACTCCTGTGCACCCCCTGAGCCCTGTCCTGTCAAGGAGAATTAGCTTCTTGGCTCCTATGTTCTCCGGGACCCTCGACTCTGTCTTTGCTTTGGTTTGAGCCCTGGGATATTGTTTATTGTAGATTCAGCAGAGGGAGGCCAGACTCTTCTACCACCCTGCACACCTAAGGTCAAACTCCACTGTGTGGTGGTATCACAAGGTCACAGCCCTTTTTCTATACCCTCTAGGTCCCACAAATTCCTCTCACTTTGACCCTGTGGCCTCTCACCTTTGTCTTTAACAATCTAGGGGATTCCCATCAGAGGGTGGGCCTGTGGGGCCCCATGGAGGCACTACAGGGAGCACACAGGCAGACATGGTGCTAGAGAAGGGGCTGAGAGTTCTACGTCTAGACCAACAGGCATCAGAAAGAGACTGTGATACTAGGCCCCGCTTGAGCACATAAGACCTCAAAGCCCTCAGGGGCCATTTCTATTCAAACCACCACCACCACCACCACCACCCCCACACACAGAGTTTATAGTTTTGCATATAATATGCTGTGTTTCTAATTACAAATATAAATGCCAGAGCATCACAGGAGCTTAGGATGTCCTCGTTCATATTTTGGCCGAACGTTTCTCAAGTGAGACGTCCTTTGTCATGTTACCCTTGCCGCATCACCAGCGTTATGCTTCCTGAGCACAGCACCCTGGCGCTGGACCGCCAGGCTGCATCTCTGTCTGAATCCTTGCAGCTGTGATCATCCTGGGACTGGGAGCCTTGGCCGCATCCCTTGCTTTCTGCCTTAGATCTCACCTCACGCCTCAGGATGGTGCTGCTGCTCTCGCTGGGCTCTTGCTGCTTGATGAGCCTGTGGCCTCCTTTAAAGTCTGACCCTTGGACACTTCTGTTTGAAGTATAGGTTTCATAACCAACCCCAAACAGCTCCCGAGAAGTGAGAAGGAGCCCAGCAGGGCGTCCGAGCTGGCGGCCTCCGGCCCTTTCCCTCAGTGTGATGCGGTTTTACTTGTGTTTGTCTTCTTCAGCGTGTTTTAAATAACCGTATCTGATTTTAAATTCACTGATCGCCACCAGCCTAGGTTTCCAAGCAGTAGAATTATTTCATTATTAATTAAAGGAGCCCCATGTGTCCCTAACCCCTAGAGAGTAGGGACCAATTTTGCTTTTGCTTCTCCCCTTCCTGTCCCAGACATTTCCTTCTTCCCGCCCCCTCCAGCGCCACTCACAAAAGTCACTGAATAAATGAAAGGAGAAAAGGGTGAGGGTGAGGGACCTGCAATGTGCCTGAATTACCAGATAGGTGGCAACCGTGAGCAAGATTCCTGCCTAGTCCCTAACCCTGTGTCACCTGGGTTCGGGGCTCTGCAGAGCCACAGCTGGCCATGGAACAGGAGAGGGGGAGTGTATGGTGAGGAGGGAAGAAAGGAGAGAGTTTGGTCTTTCCTTATTGGGGGCAGGGGAGGGACTTCCCCACTTGCTCCAAAGCTGAGAGAACACCACCCCCAGCTGTCCTCCCATACACTAAATTCCTTGCTTTAGGCAGAGGAGGCCACGGGATGCACTGAACTGAACAGAGCCATGCGGGGATCGGCACACACAGGGTCACTAAAGACCAAGCTTTGGCTGTCTGCCGCAGTTCCAGAGAAGGGAAACAGTACTCAGTGGCTGGTGTATATGAGGAGTACCACCTCCAACGCTGGTTGGCCCACCCCCCTGTGTGTGGAAACCAAATGACAAGAAACCACCATCACTGAGCCCCTCTGGGCTTTACTATAGCTTCTTTTCATCCCACGGATTGCATGGTAACTTGTGGTGATATATTGCTTATGATTTAATAAAGCCGCTCCAGATCAAAATGCAAAGCTAGCCACAGCCATAGAGCCGGGCAACGGTGGCGCACACCTTTAATCCCAGGACTCGGGAGACAGAGGCAAATGGATCTCTGTTAGTTTAAGGCCACACTGAGCTACACGAAATTGATCCAGTCCTAAAGAGAAAGTGCTCACTTGAAGGCGATCTCAGCACTTGGAATCACCTACCTTTAATCCCAGCACTAGGGAGGTGGAGACAGGAGTGAGATGGCTGGGCGGAGAGAGGGATGTAAGGCGGGAGAGGATTGCAGTCTGAGGCTTGGTGGAGAGCAGTGCAGTCTGCATTGTACTCTGAGGATCGTGGAGACAGGATCACCTGTTTCAGTCTGAGGCAGAGGTAAGAGCTAGTGCCTGGCTGCTTTGCTACTCTGATTTTTCAGCTTGGACCCCAATATCTGTCACTGGGTTTTTATTATTTGTGTTATAGTAACTTCTAGCAACAGCTGCAAAGGCTGGAAGCATAGTGCATCCAGGAGCAGAGTAAGGAGAGCAGAGTCCTGGTGTGAGATACATAGCATCCATCTAGAAGTAGAAAATATTCCCATAAATTGTTGACCGTCTTGAAGCCAGGTGACCTAGTACAAGTCCATATGTTGATTGTTGCAACATGGTATGGAGTTACAGTGGCCACTCAATCATTGTGACATACTGCACGGTCACAAACTAGGTCTCATGAATAGAAGAGACACAAGGAAAGACAAATGAGGCCATTTAAAGGCACCCCCATGATCTGACTCTGTCTGCATTGATTATCAATTGGTGAGAAAAATAAACACCAGAGGAGTAAATGGATCAGATAAATTACAATCTCATAGCATAGAAAATGAAATTCCATCCATTAAGATTTGAGATGCAGAGAACTCTGAACTGCCCAATAAATTTCTTGTTTGTTGTGGCTGAACCAGACATTGACAACAAGGGAAGGCTGGTTTTATCTTTGGTTTTAGACAGAGCTAACACTGTATTCCTTGGCTTCTCAAGTGCTAGAATTACAGACGTTGGCCACCATACCTGGTAACAGAATGGGTTTATCACCTGAGATAAACAGAGATGGGGGGGGCGTTGATGAATCTATTTTAGGAGATTTTTTTTTCTTTTTGGCAAGCATGCATGAATTGGGCCTGGCTGTCATTTGTGCTCACAGGGCATGCACAGATTAAACCAGGGCCCCTGGCCTTTCTTTCCTTCATCCCCCCTTGTGTTTAGAGCCCCAATTTATCCCTGCAGGCCTCTCAAAGGACAGGGTGTGTCACTGTGAGCTGTGGCCAGCCCTATGCTATGTGCGGTTCACTAAGATCTATTCCCATCTGACCAGTGCTTGGGATCCAGTCTACTTGTGTGCCCCCTCAGCCTACTTGTGTGCTCTCCCTCC